GAAGCAGAATATATTGCTGCTACAGAGGTATGCAAAGAAATGTTATGGATGAAAGAATTCTTACAAGAATTGGGGCTGAAATAGGAAAATTATGTGGTGTATTGTGATAGCCAGAGTGCCATCCATTTGTGTAAGAACCCAATGTTTCATTCCAAATCAAAACATATAGATGTCAGATACCACTGGATTCGAAATGTATTTGAAGAGAAGCAGTTGTAGCTTCAGAAAATTCATACAGATGACAACGGAGCAGACATGTTGACGAAGACCTTACCAAAAGAAAGACAGGAGATATGCCGACAGCTGGTCGGCATGGCTTTACATTGAGGAGTCATGGGACAGCCTCCCTTATGGGCTGAAGGGGGAGGTTGTTGGGCTGATAGCCCATATTCAGCCCATGTGGGCTAGGGCAGCCCACAGCCCACACCCCCTCTTAACTAACCCTAATTAAGATTAGGGGGGTGTGGTGGCTGCGTTTTAGAAGCATAAAAAGGCTATAAAAAGGCAACAACGAGGCAGATCTTGAGAGCCACGGGATTCCAAAGAGAAGAAGGAGAACAAGGCAGAAAAGGAAGAGAAAGAAAGGGAAGAAGACAAGGACAACGCAGAGAGACTGTTCTCAATCATCTAGCAGTGTTCTCATCTCAGGTTAGATCAAATCTACAGTAGACTCTTGTTGTGATTACTTGGGGAGGTTTTAGATATTATGGGCAATGACGTGATCCTTGTATCCCAGTTATTCTCTTGTGGTTGTTGCTAGGGTTTAGGGCAAGAGATTGAGATTTGTATATTCATTATTCTCATAGTGGATTATCTCTAGTTAGTCCCGTAGTTTTTACCATTCACATTGAAGGGGTTTTCCACGTATATCTTGGTATTCTGTTTGATTATGCTTCTATTTAATTCCGCTGCGTATTATGGTCTTCTAGTATTTGTTCATATACAAAGGTTATTCCTCTTTATATCCCCATTAAATCAAAATATAACTATAAGTTAAACCATTTTCATAAATCAAACATAAGTTATATAATAATAAAAAAATCATAAGACATCGTGATCTCCCTGTTCATGCATGAGCCACTACTTTACCCCCTTTGTTAATAACAAAGAGCATGAGTTACTACTTCTCCCCCTTTTGTATCAATAAAATGAAAAGAGTATATTAATAATCTAATTATATAAAAATAATAATTACTTTGATATCATGAGACTCGAAGAATTTTAATATTTCTTAATATTGAGTTATAAGTTCAAGCTATAGACACGAAAAAATCAATTGATGATGGGTTTTGATAACACTCTCTCTATCTATATGTCTAAAAAATATGATGAACTTGAATTCATAATAATACTTTTTCAATGATAGTCTTGAATCAAATTCGATCAGGTTGATATTATCATTCCAAGCCCAGATATTCAATCGAGTTTCAAATTTCAAAGAATAATTAACAAAAATTAGATATGAGTTATAAAAAAGTTATAAAAGCATTATAACTCTCTTTGTTCAACAAATAAACTACTTCTTTTCCTTTTGTAATAAAAAAAATGAATAAAATATACAAGTCATAAATACAAAAGAATCATACAAAATAAATCTCAAGTCGTGAATTTTAAAATATCATGATTCATTTAGATTAATTTTCTTCTTAATCATTAGAAAAATAAAGAATCATAAGAGAATAAATAACAAAAAGTATTTAATTATGCATTTCAAAATATTCAACATATCTAATTCTCTTATAATAAAATCGAATTGTTCCTCCCTTATGGTTTAGTAAAAATGTCTATTAATTGATATATTTATGATTTAGTAAAAATAATTATTTTAAAATTACTAGAATTATATGCTTTTGAAAAATATAAATAATGACTTGAATGAAAAACTGAAATATTATTTGTAAGAGTCTAAAAAGGGGTTTCCAAGATGTGTAAGGAACTGCCAGCTTCGTTGCTTCTATCTAAAAGGTTGATTTGAGCTGATGATGTAGAAAGCTTAATGATCCATTAAAAGCCATGACACAAAGAAGACTTTGTTCACGTATATAACAGTGATTCCTCATCTTTATCTCTACCATGTGGGAAAGTGCATTGGTTGCATCGCTCACGTGATTACATTGCTGGAAAGATGTTCATTCTTTTCTCAGATCTACTGTTGAAGTCACATAATAATTGCACCAACTACGACACAGACAACTCGTACCTCATTTCTCAATACATCCCTGGAACAGTGGATTTGGCACACTAACATGTATAGCAGTCATTGCAGCAGGAATCCCACAAAACATTACACCATTTTTTTATGATTGATTTACATATAGTTATGGAAGCTAGCTGTAGAAGAATCAAGTCATTCCAAAATTGTTAGCTAGAGTAATCTGACATTGCAAATGAGCAGTTTGAAGAACCTCGCAACTTCACCTTCCGGGCCGGAGTATCAGCGGCCGCGCAGCCTGCTGAGTCCTTGGGCTCGTCGTTCACCGGCCGCCTGATCTCCTTCAACATCGCCACCACATCCTTCATCATCGGCCGGTCGTCGGCTCGGGCACTGACGCAGAGGACCGAGATCGCGAGCGCCTGCCGCATTTCTTGTGTTTGATGCTCGGGTAGGCCGCGCAGCCTCGCGTCGAGCAGGTCGACGTCATCACGATTTCTCTGCAAGTGGTCTCGAACCCACTCGACCAAATGCATTCCGCCGGGCAGCGACGGGTCCAGTGGATGCCTTCCTGTTAGAACTTCAAGCAAGACTACGCCATAGCTGTAGGCATCACTCTTCTCTGTTATCCGTTGCATCGAAGCATACTCTGAACCAAAACAAACACCTTCGTCAATCTAAAATTAATCTATCGAAGTTCCAACTGATGAATCTTTGAAGAAGCGACAAAAGCTAAATCGATAACAGTCATTTACCTGGAGCTATGTATCCGTAGGAACCAGCGATACGAGGCGAAGTCTTAGACCCCAACTTGTGAGCAGTATCATCTCCGCTTAGTACTCTGGCCAGGCCAAAGTCCGCCAAATATGGTTCAAATCTCGGCCCCAGCAACACGTTCATGGCCTTCACATCTCCGTGCAAGATGGCGGGCACACAGTCATGGTGCAGATAGGCGATGGCGTGAGCCAGCCCGATCACGATCTCGTACCTCGACTCCCACTCCACCGGCGCCTTCCCTCTTCGGTGAAGGAATCCGCTCAAGCTCCCGTTCGGCAGGTAATTGTAAAACAACAGTTTGGTGCTCCGGTTGGCCCCCCATCCCAGCAAGCGCACGATGTTCCGGTGCCTTATCGTGCTCAGGGCCGTGATCTCGTTGCGGAACGCCCCCGACTCGGACGACGACCACATCTTCTTGACGGCCAGGGTACCACCGTTCGAAGTTCCGACCTTGTAGACCACCCCGGAGCTTCCGGTCCCGATAACGTTCGCCGACGTCAGGCTCCGGACTACATCGTCCACCGAGAACTCCAGCTTTTGGTAGAGCGTGATCTCCCAAGTGTCGTCGGCCTCTCCGCTCGGGACAGCACGAGCGCGTAGGAGCAAGTAGGCGGCCGCCAGCAACAGCACGGCGCTGACGCTGATCAGAACCGACATGGCGAGCTTCAGGGCCGAAATGGTTGCTCTGCTCTGTGGTTCTTGCGTCGCGGGGCCCTTGGTGATGAACAGCCCATGGTTGCCTTCAAGAACGGAGAGCGGGAGCTTCCTGAAGAAAGGAGTGTCGGGCACTTCGCCAGAGAAGGCGTTGAAGGACACGTTCAACGTGACGAGGTTCTGGAGAGCGGCGAGCACGTCGAGGTTGCCGGAAAGCTCATTGTGGGAAATGTCAAGGCATCCGAGCTTCTCAAGTGCAGAGAACTGGGTTGGGATCTCGCCGGAAAGATGATTGCAGCTGAGATTAAGTGAGATCTCGAGGGCGGGAAGTTGGCCTAGTTCGCCCGGTATCCCGCCGGAGAAGGAGTTATCACCGAGGTCTAGCAGCTGTAGCTTGCTGCATGATGCAAGCTGCGCTGGAATCTGACCAGAGAGCTGATTCCTCCCCATGACGAGCTTCGTCAGCTCCGGAAGTGATCCGATACCGGGGCTTAACGGTCCAGTGAGCCTATTGTCAGAGACGTCGATGAACTGTAGGCTCTTCGGTAACGACTCCGGCAGCCCTCCAGTCAGAGCATTGGAGTGGAGGTCGACGAATTCAAGGGAGTCACAACCGGATATTGCAGCCGGAATCGGGCCTGCAAACAGGTTGTTGCTCATGTCAAGAAAATTCAGGTTCCTCAGACTGCCAATCTCCGCCGGAATGGCACCTGCGAGCCGGTTACCGTTCAGCCGGAGCCGGAAAAGATTCGTGCAGTTGCCGATATCAGGCAGCAGGAATCCCGACAGTTCGTTCGACAGGAGAAGCAATTTGGTGAGATTCTGCAATCCGAATAGCTCCTTGGGAATCAACCCGGTCAGATTGTTGTAAGAGAGATCGACCGACTGCAGATTCCGGCACTGGGCTAAACTGGCAGGAATGCTCCCGGTCAGCCTGTTCTGCCAAGCGTAGAACAGAGTGAGATTTTCCAGCTTCGTGAAATCGATTTGGATCACGCCGGAGAGCTCGTTGTTGTCGATCTCGAGATCAGTCAGCGCCGCGCAGTTCGAGATCTCCTGCGGTATCACGCCCGTCAGCTGATTAGTACTCAGTTGAAGCTGTTGGAGATTTGCTAGGTTCCCGATGCTCCGCGGAATACTCCCGGTTAGAAGATTCATCGACAAGTCGACGAGGACTAGCTGTTTGCATCGGCCGAGCTCTGGCGGGATCGAGCCCACCAAGTTGTTCTGCCATGATAGCAGACTCTGAAGGTTTTGGAGCTTGCCAATCTGGGGAGGAATTGGGCCTGACAGAGAATTCTGATACAGATACAGGTTGGTCAGCTCGGTGCAATTGCCAACCTCATCCGGGATCGTACCAGACAGCAGAGCGGTATAGATTGCTATGGTTTGAAGCCTTTTGAGCAATCCAATTGTAGACGGAAGCTTCCCTGATATGCCGGTTTCTGCGAGGCCTAACATGACCAAGCTGCTGCAGTTTCCAATCTCGGCAGGTAACGAGCCTTTGAGATTTTGATTCCCGCCGGCCCGGAAAACCTCGAGCTTCTGCAATTGTCCGATGCTGGCCGGGATCTCGCCGCTCAGTGAGTTGTCATAAAGAGTCAAGTACGTGAGGCTGGAGAGGTTTCCGATGTTGGCAGGAATGGCACCTTGGAGCGAGTTGGAATTCAGTGCAAGCGACTCGAGTTTGCTTAGCTTGCAGACTTCGGCTGGGATCTCGCCGGAGATTTGGTTTCTGCTGAGGTCGACGAAGGCGAGGTCGTGGTAGTCGCCGAATTCTCTGGGAATTGGGCCGGTGATGTTGGTGGCAGAGAGAACAAGCGTCTTGAGTGACTTGAGAGGTTGAAGATTGGAAGGCAATGGGCCTTGCAGATTGGACGAGTTGATGCTCAGGCCGATGACTTTCAGTTTGGAGTTGCAGGTGACTCCAAACCATCTGCATGGATTGGGGTCCGAGGACCTCCAAGACTTGAGTGCATCTGTGGAGCTGTTCAGAGTTTGCTTCCATGACAGGAGAGCCAGGCCCTGCTCATCAATGGATAGGCAGCAGCGGAAGAAGGAAGAGCTCGTGGTGAGGAAGAGAATTAGAGAGGTGAAGGTGGTGAGACTAGTGTAGATGGTACGTGTGTGTGAAGGCAACCCCATGTTGGGATTGGAGAGGGGAGGGAGAGAGTGTTGGGATCGTAGAACCATGTTTTGTTTATAGTCGGAAATCATGAGATCTGGATCCAAAGACCAAGTTAGCTTTTCAAATTTTATATCACTGCTGTTGTTGGTGCTTGTGGGATGGATGCAGATGGGGCATGGCTTTGTTTATGGGACGAGGGGAGGGGGTTTTGGAGCTACGCTGAGGAAGATGTGCAGGGCAAGATAGTATAATCGTGAAGGGAAGCTAAGAGGAAGTCAGGTTTTAGGATAACATGCATCGTTGAGGTTGCTGTCATCTATCCACTTGATGTGTTTGTTTCAACTAGATTTCTTGTCTTATCTTAACTCATTGCAACCTTCAATTTACTTTTTTAGCTTAAAACGAAACACGGTAACATTTCCTCATATTTATCTCTTACACTTGAGGGCAACCCTCATATTTATCCTAAACGAAACACAGTAACCCTCATCTCCTTTTACCCAAAATTTTGTCCAAATATTTTAATTTCAGACTTTGGCTTCATTAGATCTGAGCTTATGCTCATATTAGTTGAATAAATGCTGGACTTGTTGGTCAAAAGATGATCATAATTGTGATCTATATTCATTGTGGGTTTTAAATAAACACTGACAGATCGAATGGGGTTTGGACACTGACAGATCACTCGCTACATTATCCCACAGTGTACAGCGTAGAGAAGGACGAGTTAAAATGGGGCTACACATTGTCCAACGTGAAGATCGAATTGCGCAGCTATCGTACACAATCTGCAAAGCGATAAGTAAGATTGATTTCATGTCAACCCAGAATTTAAATGTATGCAAATCAAGCGAGTCTTTAACCGTGTGACCGAACCATTTACTGAAGGCGAGAGTTGGAATGCTTTCGCATGATGAAGAAAGACCATGTTTGGGACACAGATTAGGTGGCACACATGGGGCGCGTTGTCTCTCTGTGTAATCAAGATGCAAGCATGATGGGGGAGGAGAATGACTGAAGACAAAGTAGATCATATGATGGGAGATGAGGAACTCATGCGGTGGTGAAACATTGTTTGTGTTCATTCATTAATCAGAGATCGTACCTTTGCCAAGTTGTAATGCATGTTTCTTTAGTATTCTCCTAGATTTTTCTTTAGCTTTCTGACACAGCCACTTTAGAACCTCCTCCTCCGGAATTCCCTGCAATCCACTTCTTTCTACGGTAGCAAGTCGTAAGAGAAATTACCAGTCGGTCATTTTTCACTCCTCTTGTTTCTAACAATAAAGAACTCAATTTCTTGAAATAAGTTTTCATTCAAACCCATTACGAGGCCAAGAAAAGAGGATAATTTTCCTTTTTCTTTAACTCGTTTCCCATGGAGAATTACCAGTCACTGTATATTACAAGTACTTGTTTTTGATAGATTTAAAAGAAAAAAAACTATTTTTTCTTGCAAAATCCCTCCTCAGACTTGGCAATAAAATTTAGACTGCTTCAAGTTTTCTTTATACTGTTTGGCAATGTGGCGAGGTTGCTCGGATGGAATGTCGATGGTAGAGTCAAAAAGGAAGGAAAGAAGGATAAAGGAGAGAAATGGTTTGGCCTCGAAGAACAAAGTGGTTAAAGGGTAAAGTGTTAGTCTAGCAACAATTAATTTAGGAGGAAGAGCTCGTCAGAGCACATGTAGGGGGAGGAAGAAGGCTTAGCGTTAGGTAGCTGTTCTTCACATGCCACACACTCATCAAAGAGCTGCATCTTGACAAAATAGGAACCACATGATGGTTGGTGTCAATGGAACTCTATTCTTTTGTATGATCGATCCTTTTATCTAAACAATTATTCCACTATCCTTTTTATCGAAAGCTCGGAGGACTTTTTCTTTTTCTTCCAAATTTGATCGGTTTCAAGAATTGTAAACAAAGCCTATTTGGCTCAAAACATTTTTTATGCGATGATACTTGTTAAATACTAGGCAAGATTTAGAACGATGCTCACAACCAAGATGATCCGAGTCTTGTGGCACTTTTAGGATATAAACGTGTTGGATCACATTCTTTGTATATTTCGATTATTGTAATGCATGATTATGAAGCCCGAGCTTCCTTCCACTGCAATTAAATATACTTGTATTTATATGGATCTGATCCCTAATTTCCTTAAAGCATTTTGATCCACAAACTATTAAGCAAGAACGGTTTGAAGCAGCATCACACTAGTTGGGAGTCATCTATCAGCTCCAGAGTCGCAGCTTTTGGCCTTTTTCTCTGAGCACTAGTCTCTCTTCTTTTTTCCTATCAACTTTGCTAAATGCTAGCTGAATTGTTCAGCACTTTGGATCAAGTTAGGGACCCATATATCTTCCTTCCTTCCTTCCTTCTCTATTGGTTTAATCTTTAATTCAGCGTGCACAAATCTGCCTTTCTCTGGTGATGCAGTACTAGAATAATATGAGGTTGCCGGGGCGAACTCCATGGCCATCGATTCATTGTCTCCTACGCACCATGCAAATTGGAATTGCATCATCTTCCCCAATTTCAGGATTTTGTTGTCCTTAACACCCACCTCACCGTCTCTCTTTTACGTCAGCAGAGATTAGATATGGAGAGTGGATGGAAGAGTGGGGTACAAAAGACTTGTAAATCCTATAGATTAGTCAAGCAATTTGGAGGATCCATTAACTTATTACTATGAGCTAACTAATCTTCGGCCATTACCTGCATAGAAATGCTTGGTGCTCCATAAGCATCCTGATGGCTGGCTACATGGTGGTTGAGCTGATCCAGCGTCCTACTAGATCAATTTACACGTCAAATTTTGATGTTGCCGGCCATCGAATAAGGACACTATTAAGATGTTGGATTAGAGAGTCGATGCTGAAGATACAGGATTTTTCAGCTTTAATCATTGTGTCTGTGTGTTTGTACACACATGAATGGTAATGAACAACAACATCTCACGGAGACACGAGTCATTTTGAATCAGATAATAATTTGGATGACTGAGATTACTTGCTAGCTCAAAAAAAAGTCCTTTATGCAGATGCTTAAAAATAGAGTTGCTCATTGATTATCTATCTAATGCAGATGGTTGGATAAGTTGCCTTATTTCAGCGGCTGAAAGAACCTCATAATACACTGACAATAAAAGATACTGGCAATGCAGATCACTGTCTCGTTTCACAGGGTTCATCATAATGGCAATTCGATGCCTATTTCATGTTAATTAATCTAAATGTAGAACTCAGTTTGGGGATTGATGCATTCATCGATGGTGTCTGTCCTGAAAGGTGACGACAATGGTACTTTTTTTTTCTTTTACTTAGACATTGCTTTCGGAAAACGAGAAAGCCTACCAAGCTGGGAAGTCCCAGAAACAGGGGGCTTCGACGACATAGAGTTATCCAAGTAGACATTTTGACTAGGCAATTAATTCTTTCCCCTGTTTTTTGAGCTATTTAAACATAGATGAAGGCCTAATTGGATCAGACACAGTATTATTCCATGTTTAACTTAACACTCTCACTTTATAGACGAAGGACAAAGGTCACTAAAAGCTTGCCAAGATTTAAAGCACAATAAAACGATTATCATTCTATTATGATGTCCTTTTGCAGCAACAAAAAAAAAAATCTGATTTTGATGGAAACATTGGAATGTAGCCATAATAAGGAGGCAAAGAGGAAAGCTTGATGTGAAGTAACCATGGCTGTCAGATAGTTTTGGTTTGGATTGCAGATTGATCATTGTAGAAACAATGAAAATAATTTTAAGAAACTACTAAAAGAACAAAAATATGTTTTGCAGAGACCGTATGAGTTCTTATTTTTTCAGAAACAAAAGGTGCATGCAGAAGTTCTGCTGTCTTACTTCCAGCAATGAACTTCATCAGATACCAATGAAAATTATTAACTTCTTAAACTACTATATTTTCCTTTGCTGTGGCATCATCATGTGACTGAAAAGTTTTGGAGTTTTTTTTTGAGAAATCTTACATGTTTTTCATTGATTTTTTATTCTTGTTTTCAGAAACAAATGACACATTTATTTCTTTTTTTTTCTTCTTCTTTGACAATAAATCACAGATTGACACCACAGTGACTGCTGCATCATTGAGAAATCCATATTAGGCCCATAGTGTTGCCCATGTCGAGATAATCTCAAACTTGAAGTATAATATCTCTGTTTGGGTAGGCCGATGAGGATTGTTTAGCTTGAATAGCTACAGGATCGTTCTAAAAATATCTAATATAGACTCGTATTAAGGTCAGAGAGAGAGAGAGAGAGAGAGAGAGAGAGAGCTGAGCCTTACGATGGGCATGCATCTAATTCAATTCTCAGGTGAAACAAGGCTTTCTTTGACAGTGTGTGCCCTTGCTTGCCAGATGACAGTAAACTAATATTGACCTTCACGTATCATTAACGGAGTACAGGCAAGCCAGCAAGGCAGTGACCGCAGACACGCGTGAAGCTTATGAATCCATCCTTGTTCCACTCCATTATGGATAGTGCCTTCCGTCTCCGTCGATGAGACGTGACCTTTCTCATGGTGTTCGATTTGTGGAAGAGTCTATGACAACCTCTCACGCTGATATCGTAGAGGGATTGATGGGATTAAAAAAAAATATGTATATGAATAAATAGTCATATAAAACATCAATACCTATGTTAAAAAATTTTTCAACGCGAAAAAAATTACGGGATAAGTCAGAGAAACATATTTACTATAAAAATAATGAATATATAAATCTTGATGTCTTTTATCTAAAACCCAAATAACAATCACAAGAAAATAACATAGATATAAGAATTACATCACCTTGTACATCCATCATTTTCTTTCCTTCTCTTCTTTCTCTTATTCCATTGCACTCAATTGTCCTCTTTTTTGTCTACCATAACTATCACAATCTAGGTTAAAAGAAAAAGGGTCTAGATTAAAAGAGAAAAAGATTTTTAATGATTAATATAGGCTATGGGCTATTAAAGCCCACTATGGGCTGAATAAATGGATCATGTGCCTAACAACCTACCCTTTCAACCCATAAGGAAGGTTATCTCATAACTCCTCAATGTGAAATCATATTGATCAGTTGTTGGCACATTCCTTACCTTTCTTTCGGCAAGGTCTTTTTAATATATCTGTCTTATTATCATATATATGAATTTTCTAAAGTTATAACTGC